AGGCTCTCACTTAGTGTTTATGCTAAAATGAGGTGTTAACTTACATTAATGATGTAATTATGAATTCCTCTTCTTTAAGGAAACAGAACTTAACAACTCTTAACACTCATCAGAGTCTGGACCTAGTTTATGCAAAACACGTATATTTCTCAAGGATTAGCTCATGTGATCCTCGGACCACTCCCCGGAGGGAGGGACCACTGTGACCCCCATTTTCCAGAGGGGGGAACTGAGGCCCAGAGCAGTGAGGTCATTCAATTGATGTGCAGCAGCACAGGGACAGCCACATTCCCACAGCCACCTCTAGACCCTCCCTGTTATGACTGGCCCAGGTACTATAGACCACATGGGCAAAGACAATTCGGTTTCACACTGAAGAAAAAGCAATGGAAAAAGCAGCCATCATTGCCAAGTGGCTTCAAACACTTACGATCCATTATGGGAACAAACCAGCCCAAAGGGCAGATCACATGCCCATGTCTGACAGGGGTATGAACTAATAGTCATCCTACATTTGTCTAGCGCCCTCTGTGTGCTAGGCAGAAGCCATGTCTCCCTGATGGAATACATCACCAAAGACCAAATGGAAACACAACTGGAAATGGTAAGAGTCCCACGGGCAGCTGTTTCTTGTTAAAAGAAAAATGGCACTAGACCCCCTACATGCATTCGATGGATCTGCCCACTGAGAAAAATCAACGTAAAGCTGAAAATTGAAGGCAAAAGCCTCAAGCTTGCCCAGAACCTGGTCCAGGAAGACAGTAAGGGCACCATCAGCAGCTTTCCCTCTACACAGAGCCCTTCTTAGTGCCCAGGACTCCACAGAGCCCGCTTCCACCCAGATCGACAATACCTCCCCCTTATGTCCCTCTTCTCCCCTTATACTAGCCTCCAAGCAAAATCCTACCTCAGTGTCTTTGCACTGGCTGTTTTCACAGCCTGGGATGCTCTTTCAATAGCTGTCCAATGGAGGCTCATCCTTCATCTCAAGTCTTTGATCAAAGGACCCCTTCTTTTACCCCCCTCCTGCCTGTTTAAACCATAATCACACACACACACACACACACACACACACACACCCCTCTCCTTAACCCTGCTCTTTTTTCCCATAAATTGGCATCTTCTACCAAGTTTCTTCTTTATTTGCCCCTTGCTGAAAAGCCAGCTCCCCCAGGCCAAGGATTTTGGTGTCCTGCTCAGGGCCTAGAAATACATCTCAATGAAGGAATGAAAAATGTAAAGCATTTTAAGCACTTTTTCTGTGCTAGAGGCTCCAAAGAGCTCTAAGTGATCTCATTTCATCCTCACTCCACCCTCAATGAGGGGCACCCGGTGACTTTATCTGCCCTAAGAGGTAAAACACACCCAATCTGGGTGCCTGAATGGGGCCTATGAGTAATTACTGTTAACAACCCCATTGGCTAGGGAAACAGCAGCTCAGAGAGGAAAGGTTTGCAGTATCAAGCCCAGGCCTCAGGAATTGGAGGCCTCAACATTGTCCTCCTCCTGCTCTTTTCCCAAGGAAAAACTGCCCAAGTTCCTCCCCCTCCTCAGGGCCACAGGTCTATCTGCTGGTGCTGAGACAGCGGTCTTAAAACTCAAAGGCTTCCATGGCCAGGCAACAAATGTGAAATAGGCCTGGGCAAGCACTAGGTAGCGATGGGGGGGCAGTGGCAGCTCGAATAGCTAGTCCTGGTTTGACCAGGTAGCCAGTACCTGCTGATTCTGAGATCCAGGCAGTTGCACCAAGCAAAACACAGGAACAGGGAAACCAGAAAACAATTACAACAGCAGCAGCCACGGACATACGGGTATAGCCAACTATGGCAGAGCTTTAATCACTAAAGATATTTGGATGTTTGCCAGCACTTCAAAAAACTGGATTTTGCACCCAGCTGGTGTGGCTCAGTAGATTGAGTACTGGCCTATGAATGAAAAGAGTCGCTGGTTCGATTCCCAGTCAGGGCACATGCCTAGGTTGAGGGCCAGGTCCCCATTAGGGGGCACATGAGAGGCAACCACACACTGATGTTTCTCTCCCTCTCTTCCTCTCTCTCTAAAAATAAATAAAAATCTTTCTTAAAAAATTCTGGATTTTATTCAGAATCTATTTTTTTAAATAGTGACAGCTAATTAAAAGCAAAATACTTTAAACCCCATGCAAGTGGAACAAAAGTTCCAGCAAGCAGGTCTTGGGCTCCAGGACTACCAATATGCAACCCCTGGTACAGGGCTAAGTTAACTGGGTCATTGCCACTCCCATCACAACTTTAGAAAATCCACAAGGAGGAAGCAATAAAACAGAGCAGCTTGTGCTGACCCCCAGGCACATGCCCTTGACACTCTCTTATTTGTTCCTTGAAATCAACCAGGATATCCACTGTATAAGTCCACGGTATAAGAAAAAAATAGTTTGACCGAATTCAGAAAAAGAAATAGAGTGAAATTCAAAGGCCCGCCTGCCAGTCCCTTGGAACAGGGCTTTATAGCTAAGTAGCCTTCCCCACATTCTAGAAATAAAAAGAAATTAGCTCTTTTAGAGCACCCCATAACCAAAGAGAGGCCTTTCTACAACTCTGGTTCTCAGGCCCTGAATGTTGAATGTTCTTCAAATGGGATGTTACGTCACAGGCTTCTGGGAGGAGCTTGCCACAGAAGCCAGGATCAGTAGTAGTGGGCAATACCATATGCCAGGGTGGGCAGCACAGAAAGTCAGGGGGCAGAGGACCAGAAGAAAGGTGGAGAGGGGAGAGAGACTCAGGGCCCCACCCACCCAGAGCCACTGATTCCTCACTGAACAACCTCGAGCAAGAGTGCTCAGCTCTCTGACCCTGTTTCCTGCTCTGTAAAATGGGATCATAACAGTGCTACCCTACCAGAGCTTAAATGAAGTTCAGTGTGAAACATGAGAGCACTTTAATTCCGATTAGCTTTTGTTGTCAATAATGAGAGGAGCCAGACCAATGAATAATGGCCATATAGACCTACTGTGTGCAAGCACTGTGCTAAATAAGCACTTTCAACACACTAAGACACTGTCTGTATCCTTGCCACAGTCTTGAGAGACCATCACCCCATTTTTAGAAGGGGAAACCAAGGCCTGGAGGGGTCAAAAAATGTGCAAAGTCAAGTGCAATTGAAATGGACAGAGCTTTGCAGATACCCACTGGAAGCTCAGGCAGGTAGAAAGATGGTTGTGCAGAGGGGCCCACAGTGCAAGCCTAGCTGACACCAAAACAACACCTTTCCGCCACAGTGGACAGAGTACAAAGCACCAGAGACAAAGGAGGAAATGCTGGGAGCAAAACCCCAGGTCTCTGCTGGGCTCCACTGAGTACCAGCTTGTTGCCCTTGGGCAAACAGTAAGTCCTTTCTGAGCCTCCCTGCTCATCTCTACAGTGGAGATAACAGAACCTCCGCTCCACTTGTTTATCATGGGAGTTAAGATGCTGAACAAAGAACTCAGCCTGCCCTGGTCAGGTGCCTCAGTTGGTTGGAGCATCGTCGTGTACACCACAAGGTTGTGGGTTCAATCCCCAGTAGGGGGGTACACAGGAGGTAACCAATAGATGTTTCTCTCTCACATTGATTTCTCTCTCTCCCCTCCACCCTTCCCCTTTCTGTGTAAAATCAATAAACAAATCCTCAAGAGAGGATTTTAAATAAGAGAAAAAAACTCAGCCTGGCACCTGCTGCTGAACATTACTTCGTAACACTGATGACAACAGTAATAACAACTATGATGTTATCACTAGGCAGTCAAATGGAGTCCTTCCTGGAATGGAAATACACTGCCCATCTGGGAGGCAGAAAGGCAAAGGCAGAAGAAGGAACTGGCCACAGGACCAGTTCTCATTCATTAGCTTCCCAAATCCCTGAAACAGCCCAGAGAGTAGAACTTGCCTATCGGACAGGTGGGCAAACTAAGGCTTCCCAGGGCTGCCCAGGGAAGACCTTATCCCAGCTCTTACCATGAAGGCCTGATCATTCAGTAAGTCCCTTCCCAGGCTCCAAGAGGGCCCTCAATTAGCAGGCTTTAGCTTGGGGGCTGGTCCCTGTGTTCCAGGGCCCTGGAACACCCTGACGTAGGCCAGGAAAGAAACCTATAGAAAGTTCCCCCTGGGGTCCTACTTCCAAATGAGAAGAGAGCAGTTGAAGTCTCAGCCTTCAGCTCCCTTCTCTATGCTCCCATCGCACCCTGCCAGAGGTTGGGCCAGACAGTTGGGGGTTGTTAAGGCACTGATGAGCAGACTAGGAGAAGGACAGACACTAAACAGACAAAAAGATGAGCCCGGTTGAAAGAAGAGCCAGTGTTTGCCAGGGACCAAGCTAAGGAGTCAGCCCAGGAGAAGCAAACAACAGGGTCCCCTAGGGTCCAGACAGCAGAGGCCAGCTGGGCTAACACAACAGAGGGATGGCTAATTCTTACTTATGAAAGGCATGGATGGGCGGCCAGACAGCACAGGTCACCCTGGACAGCTAGCTAGACAGCAGGGAGCTTGCCCTGCAGAACTGGACAGATGGACAGCCAAATGGTGGTAGCAGGGAGGCCTATCCATGACAGAGAGTTAGCCAACCAAGCGGCAGGGACTGCTCCAGATAAATGAACAGCCAGCCAGACGGCACGGGTCGGTCCAAAAGATATCTAGGTGACACGTTTCGGACACAGACGAGAGACCTATCCCTCACCCACAGGCAACCAGATGGTAGAATTCACCCACTAGAGCTGGTGACTAGTCGGCAGGGGTCCACCCTACATCCCGACCCACGCCTCCCAGCCTGTGAGGCGCCCCTTGGGCCTGTCCTAAGGGGCGCTGTCCTCAGCCCCTTCAAGGAACCCTACGCTCACAGTGACCCACAGGGCCCGCCTCCCTGCCCCTGTCCCCGTCACCCGCACGCAAGCGCCGCAGTTACGCTGGAGGCGCAGGGCGCGCCATTCCCGGTCCGCCCTCCCCGCCCTAGGCCACCGCCCGCGGGTCGTCGCCACCGCGCTCACTTACCGGCCCACGAAGTTCTCCAGCACCGAGCTCTTGCCCGCACTCTGACCGCCAACCACGGCAATCTGCGGCAGGTCCAGGTGGCAGCTCTGACCGATGGAGCTGAAGGCGTCCTGTAGCTTGTTGACCAGAGGGATAAGCTCTTCCATCCCGCGGTTGCCCATGGCGCCGGTGGCCCCGGCCCGAGCGCCAAGCGCCCAGCGCTCCCTGCCCGCCCCCGTCCCTCAACGACGAGGTCCCGCGGCGTCCGCGGCCGTTGCTCCCCGCCCGGGGCTCAGCGCGACGCCCGCTCCCTCGGCCTCACAGTCGCCACTTCATCCGGTTCTCAGACGACACCCGACCGGAGCGACCTCCCGCCCCGGCCCCCAAACCCTCGCGCCACCTCTGATTGGTGACCACACTGCCAGTCATACAAACCAGCCAATGAAAGTGAGTCATGAACTTAAAGCTGAGTGAGCCTTAGCCCTGGGGACCTCCTCGCGGGCTCACTGGACGTTAAGACCTGTCGCTGTTACGCTTGAGCCAATAGCAGCGGGTAGCGACTTGTCAAGGGTGGTGGGTGGTGTTCCAGGAAAAGGCATCTTGACTCCGCCTACTAGGGGAGTTCCCGGATACTAGGGAAACCCGCCAGTTTTATTGGTAGAAAGAGCCTCCAATCAAAATGTCTGGCCAATGAAGTTAGAGATCAAATCTTTTAGGTGCTGGTTCGTTACTTGACGCTGCCTAAAAATTCCTCATTGGTTTCTATAAATATCATTCCAGCAGCCAACAAACTGAGGAGGGCTTTAACCTCTGATTTAAAATTGAATCTGTCAATCAACAGTCTCCTGTTCTTACTTGTAATTGTAATGTGTCTATGAAGTCTTCCGGAGTAGAGGGTAAGGCCCACCATACTCGTAAAAGGGCGACTCCTCGTGGTGGGACTCGGTGGGGACTGTCACTCGCGAATTTCTAGACTCTTAAGGAGAACTACAGGTCCTAGAATGCATCTTTCCCCCGCCTGGCAAACCAGCTCTCTGCGCCGGGTTTCAGAGCACTTTTAAGTGCGAGTCTGGCAATGTCAGTGGTTCCTTGAGAGAGGTGGTCTAGCTGGACATTGTCTTCCTCTTTCATTCGTATATAAAAGTCACACCTTGCCCTGGCTGGCGGAGCTCAGTGGATTGAGCACAGACTTGCGAACCAAAGGATCGGAGTTCGATTCCCAGTCAGGGTACGTGCCTGGGTTACAGGCCAGTTCCCAGCAGGGGACACACATGAGGCAACCATACATTGATATTTCTCTCCCTCTCTCCTTCCCTTCCCCTCTACGTATAAATAAATAAAATCTTTTTTAATTTTTTTAAAGTCATACCTCTATGCCTTTGCGAATGCTGTGCCCTCTCCTAAGAATACCTTCCTTCACTTCTGCCTTGATGAGGCTAACAAATGCACTTGATTCTTCAAATTTAGCATACCATTCATGATCTTTTTCAGTACTCAATGAAACTCAACGGATCCTGTGCCCACAAAAAGACGTTAAGAAGTGATTTGCCCTGACTGCTGTGACTCCCGTTGGGTGTCACCCTGCAAAGCAAAAGGTTGCCAGTTTGATTTTGGGTCAGGGCACATGCCTGGATTGCAGGTTCAATCCCCATTCCAGGTGCATTTCAGAGGCAACTGATTGATGTTTTTCTCTCACATCGATGTTTCTCTTTCTCCGTCCCTTTCCCTCTCTCTAAAAATAAATCAATAAAATCTTTTAAATGAAAGAAAGAAGTGATTTTTATCCCTCTGGGCATAGATGGGCCAGAGAGGAACTGAGTCCAAAGAATGCAGAAGCAACCCGGTTAAGGACTCAGGAACAATGGAGGTGGGGAAGTGGGCTGATTGGAGAACAGGGGGATGGCAGAGTGGCCAGTGCTGTGTACCTGCTCCAAGCCCCAACCCCAAGTCTCAGACAGATGGGTAAAAAGATGACCAACGAGGATTGGCAGTGCGGCCTTGATTAGAGTAGCAGAAACCTGGAGACACCCCAGCTGTCCCTACATAAAGCTAAATAAATACTCTGCAGCAGCTATAAAGAAAATAAGTCTTCATGTACTGACATGTAAACAATTTGATACATACTGAGAAAGGAAAAACAGCAAAGTACATAACTGCATGTAAAAGACACTGACATGCATGAAAAATAGGTATACATGGAAAGTTTCTGGAAGAATATACAAACTGATCAAAACAATGCATTTTTATGTTATTTGAATGGTGGGTCCTACACATGTATTACTTTTTCAATTAAAAAACCCTTACCTTCTAAGAGCACCGGCTCTGTAATTGGCCATATCTGGGTTAGATCCTGGGCCTGTTTATTTGCTGGGTGGTAGTGACCAAGTGACTGCGTTCCTCTGAAACTCAGTTTCCTCATCCATAAAATGGGGAAGGTAGCTATGCACGCATCATAAAGTTGTAAGAATTAAATACACATGACAACCATTTAGAACAGGGCCAGGTGCAGTGTAAGCACCTACTACATCACACCTATTACCATTATAACTGTGTTAACTGACAGCAAGATTAAGCCACATGTTTGAAGAGTCAAGGCTAAGGGCATGAGGTCTGGAGCCAGGCTGCTACTTCCTCAGTGGTGACTTATGTAAGCTACTGACCCTCTCTTGGCCTGTTTACTCAATTGTGAAAAGGGGCAGGACAAAAATGTTGACACCTGGAGTGTCTGGGAGGTCTAGGCCACAGGAAAAAAAATGTGGCTCCCCCTCTGAGATACTTCCTATATGATGGGTTGTGAAAGGTGGTCTCCAGATACTACCTGTTGCTATGGCCACTAGTTATTACCAATGGGAGGCAAGGGACATCAACCACAGGACACTCAGTCCAGGAAGGGGACCAAGACAGGCCGCCCCCCCAAGAAGAAAGAGACACTAAATTATAATAAAAAATCCAAACCCTTCAATATCTTCCATCCCTTCCCACCACTTCCCCCCAGACCAGGTCAACTCAATGTGATTCCCACAGAGGCTAGGGCTTCAGTGGCCCAGGTGGGATATAGGGTGGGGTCCCCATACATGGTGTGCATGAAGTCCCGCACAAAGTCAGGAAAGCATTTCTCCACGATGCTGGTGCGCACGGCAGCCATCAGCTGCAGCTATGGGGCGGAGATATCAGTGTCAGCCACCTGCACCCAGGAGACCCCCGCCCCCACCCCTGCCTTGCCCACCCAGGCCACGCACAAACCTACCTGATAGGCAATATTGTGGACAGTGAGGTGGTGCAGGGCAGCGGTGTTGTCACTGTGCAGTAGCGCGTGCAGGAAGGCCCGGCTGTGCCTGGGAACAGAAAGTTAGAGCTCAGCAATGTAGAGTCCTGCCCCCCATCCCAGGCTTCCCCCAGCCTGCAGCCTCATCATCCCCTACTTCTGGCAGGTAGGACAGGCACACTCAGGGTCTATGGGGCGGAAGTCCTTCTGGAACTGCTTCTTCTTCAGCTGCAGATTCCCAGTAGGCACCAGGGCAGAGCCAAATCGCTGAGGGAGGAAAGGTGGCAGAAGGAAGGTCAACCAGGTCTTTACCCCTTCTGGCCCCACCTCCACCTTGGCCCATCAACAGACCCCGCCCCTTCTGCCCCCTGCCCAAGGCCTCACCGCTGTCCTCGTGGGGAAAACGCAGTCGAACATGTCGCATCCAAGAGCCACGCAGACCACCAGATCAGTGGCATAGCTGGGGATGGGGCCATGGGAGAAGGGGAGCAGAGTACCTCAAACCCTGGTCACAGACCCAGACCCCTTCAGATTCTCAGACTCCCCTTAGACTGGAACCCTCAGAACCATACCCAATGGAAGGCCATGTCTTCCTTAGTCCCCTGCCAGGCAGGGCTGTATCCTTTCCTGATACACAGTGTTGGAAGGGGGGGCAGGGGGGAATGAAGGGTCCCCAGGAATCTGTCCCCCACAGGCGCAGCAGTCTTCCCGCTTTTGGACATACCCAACCCCCATCAGGTATCTGGGCTTGTCCTTAGGCAGCCTCGAAGTGCTCAGCGCCACCATCCTCCAGAACTGGTCCTTGCTCTCACCCCCACTCAGTCCCCCGATGGCAAAGCCAGGCACGTCCCTCTTGGTCATCTCTGAGGGTACAGGGCAAGGTGTAGGGCAACCAAGCAAAAGGAAATGCTACTTCTCCTCCTCTCTGTCCCCGCCACTTCCTCCCCTTCATCTCCTGGGCCACAACCTTGGTTTAGGCCTCAGTCACCCTTCTCCTGGACAACAACTCTAGCTTCCTCATGGGTCTTCTGCTTCCTGTCCTACCAGGGTTTTTCTATGGTTCCTGTCACTCTCCCACTCAACAGCCCTCCATGGCTCCCCAGTATCTCAGTGTATCAATTAATGTTGTAGGTTCTAGGACCCAAGGCCTGGACCCAAATCCCAGCTCTGTAATATCCAAGCTGTCTAGCTTGGGGTAAGTGACTTAGTGGCTCTCTACCTTAATTTCTCCTTTCTGTTACCCTGGGAACTGGTAGTTCCCACCTTAGAGGATTGTTAGGAAAACTCAACGGGTCAATCTGTGACCAGCACTTGGCATAGCATCTGAACACTGAAAAACATGACGGCTATTGGAATTACTATTATTCTGAAAACATTCGACTCCATTCTGCCTCTGGGCCTTTGCTTCAGTTGTCCTTTCTGCCTGTAGAACCCTTCCTCCGGGAGAACCCTTCCACCCATTAACAACGGCTGCCTGAGCACCATCACATGCCAGACCCAAGGAAGGCTCTCAGCAAAATGACAAACTCTGGTCCTGCCGAACATGACTCTACCTTCGAGGCAGGTGGCCCGGAGATCCGCGTCCAGCCCACCCTGAATGATCGCGAACAGATTCTGCTTCTCCGGCTGCCGATGGGCTGCAATGCATCGGTCTAGCCAGCGGATTGATCTGCAAGAGGCCCAATCAGCCGTTTAGGTCTGGCGAAGGGTAGGGAAAGAAGAGTGCAGGATCTGGATCCCTACCCCTGCTGCCCATGCGTGCGCGCGCGCACACACACACACACACGCACACCTGGACATAGCCTCCTCCACACGAGGTCCGGTCACAGTGCTGCTGACCACGTCATCCAGCTGCATGATGATGTCCGACCCTGGGTGGGGGGCAGTTGAAAATGGAATACTGTCACTAGGAAAGACCCCAGCTGTTGGGGGCAAACTGTACACCAAAAGTCCCTGCTTGGGTCTTGCTGACTCCCACTTAATCTTCCAATTGTTTATACAGTAGCTAGAGAGAGCTTTCAAAATGTCCATCTGTTACAGCGCCTCCTCCAGCCCTC